GTGATTTGCACTCGTCCAAAAATCGGAACGGAAACTGAACCGTGTATGACATGTGTGGCTTCCCCTTTCCGATCACACACCGATCCGATTATTCGATCATCGACGGAAGGTTCTCTGATCGGAGTCGGATCGGAGTCGGATCGGATAGACGGCCTTTAGTGTTGGTACTTAGGTGCCAATACCTGCACTTAGAGGCACCACCGCAAGTTAAGCCCCGACTGCTCTGAAATTAGGCGCCAATAAAAATTAACAAATGTCCACGTACCTATCTGCGATTTCTTGCTGATCGTTTAATCTGAGGCGATCCAGGTCGGGTGGCTCGGAAACGGCGTGCAGTCTACATAGTTCTTTCAGCAAAATAATAACCTGATGTAAGACATGATTGTCCAGACCCTCGGTGTTGCTCAGTATTTGGACAGCATTTGTTATGCTCGTTTCTTCTGAATCCGCAAACCAGACCGGCGGCACAGCCGGATATGTTTCCTGCAATTAAAAAACATGTAATAAATAAATAAAATATAATAATAATAATAATAAAAATGACTGCGGCAAAAAACCTCAAACATTTGCAAGATCCACACTTATATAATTTGCAAAAAATAATTATTAAAATATCACTAATTATTTATTTTGAGACCGAGGTGAACGTATCGTTTGAGTCTCTTCGAATTTTCCGATTTTTCTTGTTGTACCTTAAGGAACACTTTAAGTTAAGCAGTTTCAGCTGTTTGAGGAAAGTCACCATTTTCAAGCTAAAAATTGTTTCCTTGGATATCTAGCATGTAGATTCATTCAATTTGGGTCGGTTTGGATTGTTTAGGTCTTTTCAGGTTGTTAACTTTTTGTATATTATTTTTTAGTTTCATTAAACATTATCAAGGCGATGAGGCAGTGGGCGAAGTGATCTCCCGTGCTTTCCGACTAAGACTGGTTCAACTGTCCTGTGTTGCTGGCATTTCCGCTAGAGCTAGTTCGTCGGAACTTTTGCTCTTTTGTGAGTGCCTTTAAAGGCTTAATTGAGATTGAATTTGTCGAAATTGACTAGGTAATTTTGAGAATGCCGCCCAAGCATTGCTTGCCCTATGTACCTCTGGCTAGGTTTGCTGTGGGAGAGAAATGATAGGGGGGGAGGGGAGAAAGGGGTTTCGAGGTATAAGGGTGGTGTG